AGATTTTAATCATAACTGTCAAATATTTAACATCTGTTATCATTTGACTACTATAGGATAAGCGTTACTATTCGGCAAATGTTATGAAATCATTTAATTCTGCTTGACGATGAGATTTTTTGAATAAAATAAAAAAATTACCTGAAATAATTCTTCTTTCGGAGGAGTCTTTTTTGTGAAAATTCAAAAGTTACTTGAAATTTTGGCTCTTTTACAATATTGTTCTTTTGGTATTTTCTTTTGGACGATTAAAGAAACGGGAACAAAGAATCTTAACACGATCTTAACACGCATACAGGAAAACGATTTCGTAACAAATACCAACCACTGCAGTATCGTCGAATCCGATCGTCACCTCGATTAAAGTTGCAGAAAAGATCATTTGTGGCAAGTAAGATGTATCAGTGAGCAAGTAGAGAACACAAACGGCAATTGAATGCCTTGGTCGCAAATGTTTTGGTTGCAGAAACGATTAATTCACGATTCTTCAATGCGCGCGCGCGCGCGCGTGGGGGAATTTTCGCGAGGCGACGAAACGAGTAGACGGCTCGTCGGGGAAAGCCCGTAAAAATCTTAATGGGCGAGGCGTCTTCCTTTTTTTCGCAATAATTCGCAATAATTGTCTCGGGGATGCGGAAGAGGAGCGAGAGAGAGAGAGAGAGCGAGACACGGCGCAGGAGAAAGAGAGAAAGGGAGAGAGAGCGGTCGCTGACGATCTCGCGGCGCGTTTATTACATAGGAACGGCGGAAAGCGCGACGTCGCGCGCCCGGGGAGATAGTGTCATGTACAGGAACGCGCTCGCCGGTACACACGCTCATACCTGTGTGCAAGTAGCCAGAGTGTACTGTCACGGAGGCGTACAATAGGCCAGTTTCGGGGACAATAGCGGAGGCCGACAATCAAATCAGCTCACTATCAGCCACCCCAACCCATCAACGTTTATCCTTTGATCCGCTCAGTCGTTCGCTCGCTCGCTTGCTCGCTCACTCGCTCGCTTGCTCGCTCACTCGCTCGCTCGCTCTCTCACTCGCGGGGCAGCAAACACTCCTGATTGCACACCCTCTGTGTTTAAACAGCCTCGAACTGTGTCTCTCTCCCCGCCGACCCTGCCCTCTCCGTCGCCCTTCTGCCCCCGCCCGATATCCCGCTCCTTCTGTGTTTAAAGGCTCCACAATGCGGGGGATGAGGAAGAGAGAGAGAGAGAGAGAGAGAGAGAGAAACGTCATCCGGTATAAAACGCCATGTCCTAGCGACATTCCGCCTCTCGGTATTTAATCTTCTTTAAAACGCTACGCGATGTGTTAGGGGTTTTGAGAACTTTCATATCGAGAACATTGAAAAATTATTTCTGTGTTTCTGGAACTAAAATACTTGGTACACTGAGAGAAATTATTCGATAAGAAATTTACAAACGGATATTTCCGATCAAAATACCGTTGAATTTTTGTATTCGATCAGGAAACATCCGATGAGAAATATCGGTTTTTAATTTTTTGATCGATGTATCTGATGAAATGCCATTTGATCGGAAGTATTTGATTAAATTTAACCATATATCCTGATCAGATATATAAAAATTCAGCGGTATTTTGATCGGAAATATCCGTTTGTTAATTTTTTACCAAATAATTTCTTTTAATATATGTTTTACTTGTGTCAAATATATATATTATTAAGAGGGCGAAATACACATATTGTAATTACCAAATTACGTCTGGTTGATTGCATTTTAACAAAATTATGGCCCGGTGTACCGAATTTTCGTCTCGACACAACAATGCTTTTGAGAGTTAGATATATATCTCGCGGAAACGAGTTTAATTTCTGTCGTGAGAAAGAAGAATCGCCGAAAGATCGGTCTATGAATTCCTGGGAACCATTCCGAGAGGCGAAATTATAATACATTGAGTTTGAAATAATTTCAGGCGCACCTGTGCGCACGTGATAGGAAGTGACGCCAGAGACACTGTTATACACACGTGTCGGAGTACGCGCGTTAAATCGCACGTGCGAGCAAAGCGCGGAAGTAAATTGTCGAATATTATGAAGAGTTCGTCTTAGAGCAAGAATAGAAGAAAAGCGAGTGCAGCCAAGCGTCCATAAACATTTCGTCCCTTTTCCAAAAACATTGAATATTCCAATTAATGATACGCTGGTTTGAATTTTATATAAAATAGATATATTAAGAATCTCGATGTCATTGGCGTAGTCGTTTAGGAGATAAATAGTCCAAAGAGTTGCAAAGGTCTCAACTAGCACAGCTTGGGTTTATCTCCCAAACGATTATGAGGATAATATTCAGATTTTATATTCTTTTAATCTACTCATCCTACACTAAAAAAAGGATTTGGTTGACGAATATTCAAAATTTTACAAAATCCCAAAGAAAAGGGAATCCCAGGTCCGGTGAATCCCAAAGAAAAACTGGTTGCACTTTTTACGTTCGCAAACCACGGTAAAGACTTAATGGAACATACAAATAGTACCACGGAGTTTCGGAAAAGCATCTTTTTTACATGGAATAACATGTTTGGTTGGATTAAACATATGTCCGGTGATATAAGAGATTCCGAATAAAATTATCAAAATTCTGCCCAATTCTGCAAGTTAACAAAATTTCTGGTTAATCAGAACTTGCAACTTTGTTCAAGTTAACCAGAAATCTCGTCAACTCGAACGGGCAACTTCCAATTTCTGATTCGTTCGTATTTCGCCAGACAATTAATCCAACAGATCTTTTTCTTTGTGCGTTACGTAATGGTTGACAAAAATTTCGAGAGCGACCCGACGCGCGATGGAAAGCTCGCCAGGAGAAGAGTAAACGGTAAATATTGTCACGTACAAATATCGTAGACAACGTCGAACGAGCGGATGTGTCCAGCTTTCGACAAGTTGGGACGATACACCACCCGCGGCAGACGATGTCTGTTTCGCGTCCTCTTTCTGGGCTGAGATCGCGACTCCACAATTCCGAGGACGCGTTCACCTCGGCAGATATGTTTGCGTCGTGGGTTCGAGTTCGATCGAAGCGTAACGGGCCGTTGTCTTGGATGCGGGTACCTGGGGTTGGGGAAGGCAAAGGGACAGAGAAGGTAGGAAGTAGGAGGTTCCTGCGAGGGACACCCCCTCACCAGCTGATTACGAACTCGGGTCACCGCCGCGCGATTAATCCATTAACACCCGATTATCTCGCGACGTGCGTAATGCTGAATGTTAAGTGGACGGTCGTTCTACATGGACACCGAAACAGTACTTGGGAACGTGAAACGTTAAAACATTATTATCCTTCCAACATTTCATTTAGATATTCGCTCCAATTTGCGTTAAGTTCTTACTTGCCCAAAGATATATTTCATTTAAATTGTACACTTTGGAAAATGTGTGTATATGGAGTATCGTGTTTGGCCGAAACAAAGCGCTCACTACCATGCCAAATAATGACTTATAAGTATCGTGTGATAGTTGTGATAGTATCGTCAAGATTTGAGTAATCGAACTGGTGCGACATCCCGCCCGACAATTGGGGAAGTCCAGATTCGACTTCTGACTGAGACGATATTTTTCGCAATTATAATTTAGTGCTATTCAAACACCTGCCATGTTTTTATCAAAATTTACTGTATTCCTTAGCAAGACTTACTGACAGTCTATAAAAACATGTAGTAAAACGGAAAAGAATTTTGATATAAAAGGAAAAGAAATTATAATATTTTCTCCGTGTAGCGATTAATCTTTCCACTTTTTTTTCTAGATAGACTTATTGCCAAATGTAGTTTTAGTGTCTCTTATGTTTTCAAAAGTGTAAATCAGAAGTGTAAGGCCCTTAATTAATAGTCCTTACTTGGAACTTGTCCCACGTGAGATGTTCCGATCTGAATTTGAAGTTAGATTTAAATTCTTTTCATTTGTATTATATAATATACGTGACATTATATTTGTAATCCAATTCACATTCGTGATCCAGTTGAAAAACTCACATCTAAGGGTATGTTTGAATATAGCTGTGGTTACTGCCAGTAAAAAAGATAAAGCTGGCAGCGCTGAGAATTACTGCTGCGTTTCGTTTTTCTCACCGGTGAATCAACTGTCAGTATATTATAAAAAATAAGAAAAGAATGTGTGTGAAATAAAATATACATTATAATTACAGAAAAATATATTTTATTTGACATTTAGTAGTTTATCTAGTAATCTCTCTAGCGATAATGTACAAGATATTTTATGCAATAATAATAAAAATGAAAGAAGAAAAGAACGGGAGTCTGTAAATAAATGTATGTAAATGTTTATAAAGAGTCAATTCTCTCAAAAATCGACGACCTGAACATATTATCAAAGTTACGCTCCCCTGAATATAATATTAATAAGATTTTACTCGTAGCTCACTATTTTTTAAAAAGTTATTAACAAAAAATAGTTACATAAACGAATACTAAAAATAATATTCGACATTATTGGAATGTTTATGAATAATCGAGCTCTTGGAGCTCGTTTATCTCTTGTGATACAGTTGAATTACTAGTGGGAGAAACAAAACGCAGCATCAGTAATTTTCAATGTTGCCAACTCAATTTTTCTACTGGCAGCAGTTGCGGCTATTTTCAAACACATCTTAACTCTAAATTCAAGTCTGAGTATCTCACCTGCGGCTTCAAGTAACGGCTGACTTAAGGGAAATATACTGAAGCAAGCTCTGGTGAAAACGCGCGAGTAATTTTGACTATTTCTGACGCAGATCTCCCGATATAACGGCAAGGAGGCATGGGCGAAGTCTTGGGCAACGGAGTCCGGGAGAGATCCGTTGTCACAGGGAGGAACCTTCGCTGATCGATTTCTCCGTGGGTTGAGAGGGGTTGCTATCGTCAATTAGGCACCCTCGAAGAGGAAGCAGCCGGCGATTGGTTAGCCACGGCCACTCCCAAAGGCGGTGCCTATCGACACACGGTGGCAACCGCGGTACTCTCGCGATCTGCCAGACACCAACCGTGCGCTCCATCCGGCTAGTTTGCACCGCGGCGAAGCTGTTTCAGTTCACGCAGCGACGTCGTGCCGCACGCATCGGCACGCACCGCACGCACCTGTTCGTCGCGAGGCGAGCGTCGAAATCGGCCCCGATTCCTCTCGTCGGGGCTAAAGCCACGTCGATGCGGGATACTCTCGGGTGAGCGCGTGAATTGGGAAATCTCGCGAAATTGAGCGGCCGAGACGGACAAGATGACAGACCCCGAGGAAACCGATTGTCACCCGTGACGTCGGCGACGGTCGAAATGTTCGCGGACCTCGATTTGCTCCGGTCAACTGCCTCTAGTTCGTAGTGAAGTGCCAGATCCCTCGTGCACCGCCGGTGACCGGAAGTTGCGCATTCCGCGGTTGTGATAAATCGCCGGGAGAGAACGTTCGCCAGTAATCGCGGATCGTCCGTCGTGTCTGACTACCGGAGCACCGAGACATCATTTACGAAACAGCGTCGACTATGGTGGTTCTGTAAGTATCCACGATCAAGTGTATATTTTCGTAAATCGAACACGAGGCGAGTAACGTCGACGTCAGTCGGCGCCCATTCTTTGGAGGGCCATGTAGTTCGTGATGGGTGCAAACCTTCGCTCCGAGAGTTTCCCAGAGACTCTCAATACTTACGAGTCATGTCACACTTAATATTCCAGGCAACACGAGATATGCTTCGCGAATTTTGACAGATGAAGGCGCCTACATCGTCGCAGACTCCGACATAAGTGAATCTGTCATATGAGCAATATAACGAGAAAATGTGTATATAATAAATTACAAGCTGATAATCGATAATGGCTGATTTTTAACCAACTTTCGATTTTAATTAACCTTCGAGTATTCAGCTCAAATCCCTCTTGTTTCGCTTAGTGCCGACATTTGGAGGAATACTACTTTCTTCATACACCCCGAGCGAGTCAGCATGTTTTGCGCACGTCATTAATTATAATTTAAATTATCGCGTATCTCCTACGATTGTTAGAACAATCCAATCAGTCAACCAGGCAGCCGGAAAATTAGCTCGCGCGAGACAAATTCAGCGGTCGATTCGATCGAGCGAGATGCAAAAATTTCGTTAGCTTTTGCACTTGGCATCGATTTCTCTTCCTCCAGGCAACAAGAGAGATTCAGCTAGTACCTAATCAATGGGCGTTCTGCGGGTCTCCCATTGGTGTGTGGGCGTTATCACGGGTCTGATTGGACGCTGGGTGTTCTAGAAACCCCTCGTTTACACATGCGCGCCTCATCGGGTCATGCACAACCATTCGTACGCGGGAGTTCGCGTACCTCGACACTCGCAAATTTGACCAAACACGCTTCCCATTTTGCTATTTCGATACCCCTGCGTATTGAGCAATGGCGTGCTCTCGAAGAAACGACAATCGAGAACGGAGATCTTTACTGGGAGATATTAGTCGGCGGCGGCGGTGGCTCTCTGAAGGCCCGACAATAGAAACACAAGAGCGTGTGAAGAGCTGTTCCGAGAGAAGCGTAGAAAATATTTCGAGTCGAGTAATTAAGCGACCGTCTCGTCCACGACTTCAACACGATTACGTGACGCGTCATTGATGCGACTCTCGTCAATGTAGATATGAATTCACGATGCGCGTAAATCAGCACAACGCAACGAAATAAAATATATATCTTAACAGATATTCCTAAAAAGAAAGAAAAAAATATCGAAAATATTCCCACCTACCCCATTATGATATCTTTATTGTCATTTAGTTTTTGTTCTTTTGATCCGACTGTGTCGCACTGTTGGTATTTGTCCCACCAAAGAGCAACGCCGAGTCTAGAACAGACCCTGGCAACGCTTTTAATTGCTCCACCGGTCGAGAGGTGGATAGATAGCCGGCGATTCCGGATCGGAGAGGAGAGGCGGCCGTCTCTTCGGTTCGTGAAAACCCGATTAAGGATGTACTGCCGCCTCGCCATTGATCACAGCCCAACACCTCGAAGACAGATTAAACGAATGTCCGCGGGTAAGACGATCCCCCTTTATCTCGAATCTCGAGAACGCTCTCTCCCGCTCTCTCCCGCTCCGTGGAACCCTTTGAACCCGCAGCCCCCTCCGCGAGCCCCGCGTGCTCGTGAATCCTTTTATGTCACGGTGGCCGAACGGAAGCTGACAGTTTATTCGGTATTAATCCAACGATATTACACGGGACAAGACAAAGTGACGTTTCGCATGTTCAAGCGCGTTCTCGCTTTCAGGAGAACGATCTCGCGTTTAGCGAGATCATTAGAGCAGCGCGGTGATTGTCGATATCGACCCAAACGATCTCGAGACTTCACCAACTAAAGGGCCATTTACAATGAGATTGGCGACAGGCAGTAAAACGTAAGTAATAAGCAAATTGACTAACCGCAGTCGATTATTCTTGTAATAATCGACTGTGGTTGATCCATTTGCTTATCGCCTACGTCTTACTGACTACTGCCAATCCCATTGTAGATGGACCTTTACGCGCGACGTCTTCAGGCAACTTCTGGGCTATCGCGATATCGCGAACCCATTGATACACCGTAAAGCTAATTATGCGGCACTAATTGTGAACGAATGTCGCGTGGTCATGCGGCGGCGACCCACGTGCTTCTCCAAACTTGGCCAAAGCAATTCTACGCGCGTCCTTCTGCCCCTCCCGCCGATCTTTCGCCTCCTCGCTCTCGGGATATGTTCCCGGAGTGGCGGCGCGCGGAATCGGCAAAAAGCCGGATTTACAAAAATCCAGCCCGACCGGTTTTCTTTCGTTCTATCGCGTCTCATTGAGCCTCGGCGTGTTTTGCCAAGCTTTTTACGCCATCTCCCAGCTGCCCCATTCTGCTATTCGAGATCGCGCACTCGAGACCTCGCGCTCGCAAACGAACCCATATCGCGCGATGTCGATGTAAGTGAAACGATCGGAAATTGGTTCATAATGTAAGCGGTTTTATCAGCGCATCGGCCAAGATGCCCTCTCAAGCAGTCGGAGCGAGACATGAGGATGATTGAATCCGGAAGAGCAGCGGCCGTCTTCGAATGAGGTCATGGAATAAAGATCGCGGAACATCCGGAAGATTTCGCGATACACGGTTGCAACTCGACAAATGAACATTTGTCTTGTGGCGCGTTTGCCAAAAAAAATACACGCAGTAAATATTGTAGGAAATGTTGCAGCAAAATGTTTGTAATCTTGGACTGTACGTGATTACTATGACGGAGATTACTGTATATTTGTTTAAAAGTATTATGCACGTTCGATCGTTTATTGCAAAATTATTGCAGTTATTCAAATATTTTTTATACCTTATATTTAGAAAAATAAAATTAATTGTCTCTACAGTAATTTGTATTTCATTATAGACGAGCTTTACAAAAGACATTGTAAAGAGAAATATAATTTTAAATATTATTCTAACTTTTGTTAATATCTCGATAATATGTAAAATAAAAATTGCAAATATCGCAGAATGGTATAGGACTTTTGTGTTCACCTTAATATATATTATGTCTTCACAAAAACTTTAAACTTAATACAGATTAAGGTGAACACAAAAGTCCTGTACCATTTTGCGATATTTGCAATTTTTATTTTACTTATTATCGAGATATTAAGAAAAAAATTAAAATATTTAAAATTATATTCCTCTTTACAATGTCTTTTGTAAAGCTCGTCTATAATGCAATACAAATTATAATAGAAGTAATTAATTTGATATTTCTATATTGTTCTAAAACATCCTGTAAATATTTTATAAAAATATGTATATGTGTAAGATATTTTATTTATTTTGGTCTTTCTAAATAACCGTGTATTTGAAAACTAAAACAAAACAAGAAAGTCCAGTATTTGATAAGTGTTTGGGAATTGGCATTTTTACCTTAATGATCCGTATATTGACAACTCGAAAAGTCACGTCGCGTTAACGACATTTATTTTTCTTCGCGCGATAAGCCCACGCGGAACTCGACACCCACGCCGTACCTTTTTTTCGAATCTTTGCTCGCGATCGACGCGAGTCAGATCGCTCGATTTATATTCAACGTGACTCCACGAGGATAATCGAAGCCGTCCCGCGATGGTTCACTATTCACACAGCTCACGAGACTCCGACAACGAAAGTATATAAAAAAGATTGCACCTGAACTCGCGCCGTATGACGCGTTGTTAATAATAGCAGCGAAATAAATGATCGCGCGGTGTGAAATGGCGATTCATTTTGTCATCAGTAATGTAGGTCATGTCTCAGAATCGTCTCGCTGGTCTACATGCTACTTTACATAATTCAGCAATTCGTAAGTCGATTGTGGAAATTTGTCGCGCGTAAGAAGAACCGTTTCTAATTAATCTCAAAGACGAAGGACGCGTGATTATCGAGGTTTCGCAAAGAATAGTCCTCCATAATGGAATTAAAAAATTAAAAAATACTATCTCGAAATGGTATCACGAAAAAAAGGAATATCTGAAAAATAAAAATATTTATTCGGTGGGCACTAATATTAATACTTTTTTAAATCTACACTGCTTTTTTAAATCTACACTACTTTTTTTAAATCTACACTACTTTTTTAAATCTACACATTCTTTTGTTTAAATAAATAGAATAAAAATTGCTCTCGTGAGAAATAGCGTTGTTTTAGAAAAATATATATTTTCTTATTCGAAAGAAATCTTTTCTCTCAATGGAAAAGTATATGCATATATTAGTGCAAGTAAATATATTATTGGTACCAATTGGTTAAGTATTTCTTATTTTTTAAGTACCTTTTCCCTTTGGGACATCCTGTATACAGATATATCTTTTAAAAAAGAAAGTTTAAATACCTATATTTAAAGACCACAACAATAAGAATGTCTGATTATCCGGACATCGGTACTTTTACTTGAAATGCTATTTTTTTCAAAAATTGAATTTACCATCAAAACGAAAATAATAGTGAGATTCAGAACAAAAATGTTATAACAGTTTGCAATTCCTATCAACTGTTAATCCATCTTGTAGTCAATTGGGAATAAAAAGCTTATTTTGCTCCCATATGTTGAATATGTTGTATACTTTTTCAGCTTTGATGAGATTTATCTACTCAGCAACTTCTTGCAATAAATGATTTTAGGTATTAATATTATACATTTTATGAGAAAGTAATGAATGAATGTTCTCATTTTTATACGAAGTAGCATAATTTCCCGGATGTCGTCGTGAGCGTAAATTCGTTCGCCGTGAAAAATCGATGACGAGAAACAAATATCAGCGGGTACAAAGTGCGGAGGTAGGCGTCCGGGTAACATAACTATCGGCGTCGTGTTTCCGAATGTCGGCACGGGCAGTAACTCGAATCAAAAGCTTAGGCGCGGGGGATTAACTCGTTTAGAGGCGCGAGATTAACTCCGCGAGTTAATCTCGCGGAAAGATCCGAACGTAGCGCGGCTAGTAACAGAAACGGACACGGACACCGAGAGGACAGAAACGAGCGGGTGGACGAGGGGAAGGGG